CCCCAAAACCCCAAAACCCCAAAACCCCAAAACCCCAAAACCCCAAAACCCCGATTAGATTATTTTAAATTGAAAAATGTATTATTAAACCCTTACTTCAGTTTTAAACTATCTCACACTCTCTTACAGAATTATGTGTTACTTTTTGTTCTCAAAGTACACAAAATTGAGTGGAAAGGGTGAGTGTGGTGGATATGTGCATCCTACTGACTTCATGGATATCATACTTGCTACTTCTATCTTAGACCTTTTGAAGTCAAATATTTTGTCGTTGTTCTCATGGCAAAGCACACTTAGTTTTGAAGGCAAGCGGTCTTCTTTAGAAGAGAGCTTGGACTCTTCATGCTTAGAGGAGTTGTTCTCAACGTAGATATGAGATGAGTTAGGTGGATCTAGGAGTGCATAGTCACCTCTTTTGGCTGGCTTCACCTTTTTGGACAAGATCATGTGATCTTTATCGCTAAGATTTATGTCAATTTGAGTCTCTTTTGGGTTTCATTTCTGAAATTGTATTCATTTGTTCTCATAATCAAGCTATTCTCTTCAGCACTTCTATTCTTAAAAACTCCGTTGACGGTACTAAAGTTTCTTTCATGGGTAAAGCCATTCCCTTTGTTTTCCTTCCCTGATCCTTCATTTTCTCTTTTGAAAAGTGCAAATCTTGGCTTTCTAATTATCTTAAACCCTGGCTTAGCATCAGTTTTACAAAAATTTAAACTTAAATTTTTATCCAAAGTGGGTCTTAGAAGGTCAGTGAACTCGATATCTTTATAAACTCTTGACATTACAGCTTGGGACTTTGGGCCATTACAGAATTTATTCCGATATTGCTTATAAAAAGTCATCAGCTCTTGAAGCTTTTGGTCATTTTCTTCGTAAAAGAGATACTTATAAGTAAGCAATAGCAGAACTAACTCTTCAATAATTATCATAATAGTGGTACTTAATGCAAAGACTGCACTTGCCCTATTCTGAATTGTTAGGAGGACGATCGTTACATTGACTATAAATTGTTGATAAAAGAACCGGAGCCTTAAATAGTGTCGAAATAAGTTATCTCTGCCAACATAGAGGAAGCCAATTACTATTTTGCATCCCATGAATGTAGAGGTGTATATTTGGCCATCATTTTGATCATCAAAAAGAATGAACAAAAGAGGAATTATGATGGCATTGACAATAGTATCGTACAGAATTAAGTGCCCGGGCTGGCTTAAACTTTTTCCATTCGGGAAGAACATTTTTATAATTCAATATTTCTTTAAACTTTGGGGTTTTGGGGTTTTGGGGTTTTGGGGTTTTGGGGTTTTGGGGTTTTGGGG